TAGAATGTTAATATATCATTTTATAACATATTATTTAATTATGATGCTAATAATTCACTTCTAACATTCACTTTACTTTACATAGTTTTTGAATTGTGCGGCTTACACTTCAAAAATCCTTTAGGTTTATACCTCGTCCCACGGGCATAATACGCCTCAATACCTAATTAAATAATAGTCAATGTCAGACATCTCAATCGTTTTTTAAGTGTATTTGAAATATAAAGTAGCTTCCATAGCAAGTAAGATTAGAGAGAGTCGCATTCAATGGTTTGGTCACATAAAACGTCAGAATCCGATGACCCGATTAAGAGAATGGGTGTATCAGATTTGGCCTATATTAATAAAGGTCAAGACAGACATAAAAAGAGTTGGTTAGAAAATATTAGAAATAATTTTTTATTAGATTTAAATAAGAAGACGAGTCCTAACAGGACACAATGAAAAAAAAAAGATTCATGTAGTCGACTTTGATGGGGACATCAAAGCTTAGAAAGTCTATTAGAGACATGGCGGTCGATCTACGGCCACGATCGAGTCAATGTATCGATGTATTTTGAGTCGTATTATGTATTTGTCTTTTATTATTTTATGTTGTATTTGCTTTTGTCATTTTTTTTTGCTTTTACCCCCTTAAGGGAAGTCATGTGTAAGCCCAAAGGGCATTGTCATCTTTTATTTTGAGTCCTTTGCATGAGGCTAAATATAGCCCTTAGGTTCTCTTTTCATGTTTAATGAATAAAATATACAAATTTTCCCATTGTTTGAGTTCTCGTGAGAGCTTGAAAGAGATTGGAGTGAAGTCCCTTGGAAAGGAAAACGGATCACCGATCAACCTTGAAAGTGTCGGAGTTCATGGTTCTTCTTCTCTATCTTTTTTCTCTTCTCCCTTCATCAACTAGCCGACGGCCTAGGGCTTTCCAACCTCCTAGCCGCCGACCTTCCACTCCAAAAACCACCACCATCACCGGCCAACCACCACATCCCACAATCTCTTCCCCCACTCCACACAAGCTACCTTCCTCCCCACCTTCACCCCACCAAAATCCCCCATAAACCCTAACCTAGCCGTCGGCCCCATCTTCCCCTTCTTCCCTCCATAATTCAAATCCATTCTTGAATACTTTCCATAAGTGATATCTCTTTATTTAGGAAAGCCTAATTTTAGATTTCAAAATAATTTGAATTTGAAATTTCTTTCCTAATTAAGAGAATCTATTTTAGGAAAGTTGTTTAAATTAAATCCTTTTGAATTTCGAATTAAAGTGGATTTAATTAGATCTTTCCTAATTCCTAAAAATAAGAAACTCAAATCTCCCCCACAATCCCCTCCCATCCCATTGAAGCCGCCGGCTTCCCTATTAGATACCATTGGGATTTATTTCCGAAAAACCAAGTTGCTCTCTTAGAAATAATTAAAATCTCCTCTCCTTCTCTTTTGGCCGAAATCCCCTAGCCCCCCCCCCCCCCTTTAATTATCCCCTAGCCCCCCCCCCCCAATTTAATTTCTTTCAAAAAGTGAGCCTCTCCTTTTGGAATTGAAATAAATCCCTTTCCTCTCCTTTGCCGCCGCCCCTCTCTCTCTTCTCCTTCATTAATTCCTTGCAATTAAGGAATTAATTAAGGAGTTGTTTGAACTACTTTCCCTCTACAAAATCTGAACCAAACTGAATTCCCCCTCCCTCCTTCAGTGGTCGGCCACCCTTGCCCCTTCTCCAATTAAAATTTTGAGAGAAACTTCTTTCTCTCTAAGGACGTCTTCAAGGAATGCCACCACGATCTTCATCCACACAACAACCCTTCGACACCAATGAATGGCCGATCCGGGACTTGACTCAATGGAACATCAACATCCTCCACATCACCTTCTTCGACTTTGATCCGGAAGTCAATAAATCCGTTGAAGAGTACGTGGACCGCATCATCTTCATGCTTTCGGAAGCCATCGACGCGCAACTCGCCAATGTCTAGTGGCAAATTGTCTCCGGACAACAATAGGGGTGAACTTCTTCCCTCTTCATTTATTTTCCTAGTTCACTAACCTTGTAGGTGATGATTTAATTGCAAAGTTCTCGTGCTTCGCCTCTGTCTCCGCTTAGTAAACGTAGGGTTTTGAGTTTACTTTCTATGTTGCTTATCTCAATGTTAGATTAGGGGTTTTGTTGAATCACTACTTAATTTGCATGTTGTTGAAATTCTAAGTTGTTTTGACAATTTAAGTGTTTAGCATGTGATTTGGCCTAAGCGTAGCTACCACTTTTACGTTTTCTTTTATCGTTTTGATTGCTAATAGTCTTAATTGTTATTTGGTCTTATAAAAATCGTGCAAGTTCTTATCGCATTCATTTAAAAGCATTGTAGTCCTGCATCAGACTCCATGTAGTAGATAAAGGCTTAATGTTGTTGTTGTTTTTAAAATCTGAAGAAGTTGATTTGGAGGATACAAATCCCAATATTTGATCCCATACCTGATCAATTTTTAGAAGTAGAGTACTAAAAATCCTTAAGATCAAGTTCTATATATATATATAAGAAATGATCAAAATACTTTTTGCCTTGAGTGACTTTGTTGATTGAATTAAATTGCAACCTACTTAGACACTAGAAGCACAGAGTCGAGCGTAAGATTTTTCGAGAGCTTGACAACTTTTCCATCTGCAATATGAACAGCAATTGTGAAAAATATTTGGTCTCATGTAGTATGATTTTATGCTCCTACTTTTACTATTCAAGTAATAGGTTTCATCTTGTTTGCAATGAGGCCATCTACGAATTTATCTTTTCAAAAAACTCAGCTTATTTAGGTGATATTTTGAAAAAAGCTTTTACAGAAATAATGGATTGTTGTCTTCATAAAAGAAAATAACGAATCAAACATATATTAAAATTACTGAAGATATACTTCATGAAACAATGACAATCTTTAGAAGTAGTGGCTTGACATAGTAAGATACTACTCCAGACTTGCATTAATGTTGTATCATATATTTATTTATGTTGGTAATAGGGATACTGACAAAAGATAATTGCTTTGAGTTATTTTAATGTTATTTGCAAATTAAAAAGAAGAAGATAAATGATGAAATCAAGAATTCTGTACTTTTTATTTTATTTGAACAATAGTGTATTTTGTTTTCTTTTCTTTTTTAGCTATCCAATGATGGGAAAGCATCCAATGATCATGGTAGGTAGTGCATATGGCTTAGTAGACCTTTGGTTTGCTGGCTCGATTGGTCCCTGGCTGCTGGTGGTTCTCGGGTTGGCTGTTTTGGAGCATTCGGTGTTGAGCTTGTTCCCTAAGTTGCTTGAGCTGAAGTTTAGTAACTCATTAATATCCCAAAAGGTACATCATTATGAAGTTTAACTTTTGGAGTGGCCTTGTCCCTTCCCCTTACCCTTTTCTTCTTGTCTCTTGGGATTCCGTGGCTTGTATTTAATGGGGGCTGAATTCTATGCTGAGAATTCATTGGGAAGTTATTGATTTTCCTTTGGGAATTCAGCCGGTCTTTGTTTTCCCGTGCTGTGCTGCTTTTCCCGTTGATTTGCTGCTTTGGATTCTAGCGGGCTGCTTGCTTTCCGAGAACTTAACTCCTTGGTGCCGTGAATTACCTATGATTTCCGAAACAGAATTTATGCTGGGCTGTTTTTCTGAAATAGCTTGGGCTGTTTTCAAAATGGCTTTTGGAAATTTATGAAAAAAGAAGCTTGGGATGTTGTGAACATTAACTAAGGTGGCTTTTGGCATTCTCCTACTTTGCCTCTAAAAATGAGATGATGATGTGAAGGGAGGCAGTTGATATTTGTGAGCATTTTGCTATTAACCTGCGGGTTTATTCGGAAATCCTGCGGGCTTTTTCCAACCTTCTTTTCTCATCCCCTCCGGAAATCCTGCGGGCTCTTTCCACCCCTTTTTCTAGGGCTTCTAACCTCTTTCGTCTCTCCACAAGTGCCACTCCATCTGTATCCTTCTTCTCAAAGTAAAGCAACTTTAGGGTGTCGTATCAGAGTCGATTTGAAGCATCTATTGAAGAATTGGGCCAATCTTGCAGTGGTGGACCATCGGTTTGCTAGTTCTATGCGCTTTACTTATTTAACCTACAAATTCGATGCATGTGAGGAACCCGCTCTGACAGTTGTCTGAGGATAGCGTCTTTTTAAGTTTCTTTATTTCTTTAAATCTCCTAGCATCTTTTGTTGTGTTTGTCAAGTTTTGGGTCGTTTGAGTTTATTTAACAAAGTTTGTTTTAAGTTCTACTCATTTTGTCAGTGTTCTTCGTGTGTGTCTTTTGTGTTCAAGAAATATAGGGTCCCCTATATTCCTTGTTTACATCAATAAAAGTTGAATTAGTTAAGTAGGCTAAACAATTTATATGTACGTAACTTAAGTTGATGTGAAATATCAATTAATAATACGAGAAAATAAAGACATATATGTTATATGTTTAAGTACCATGAATCTATTATATAGAAAATGGGGATATGGATGAGTTATAAATTCTTAAGAGATTTTATAAAACTGCAACAACATTAACTATGATATCAACGAGTAATGAAGAAAAAAATCATTGATAAATAAAATTGAGTGTGGAAGAAATGAAAACTAAGATGATTGCTTTAAAAAATAAGGAATAGAATAAGAAATTATTATATTTTGAAAAACATGAGTAGCACCATGACAATAAGGCAGGTACAAAGATAATAAGTAGTCACAATGAAAGTAAGGATGCAAGAAATAGAATTGAATGGTTAGGCATTTATATTGAAGAGAGAAGATCCATTAATAAATTGTGTAAGTGGGATTAATATGAAAGGAATGGAAGAAGGTAGAAGAAAGATGTCATGGCTAGAAGTTGTGAAAACCCTTGTATTACATTAAATTAACATCATTATGTAACACTTAAGAAGAATGAAAGAAGGATTGATAAATTTAATCCAATAATATTAGGAAATGCTACTGATGAAACTAATTGACAAAGAAAATGAATAATCTTATCAAGTACTTCATCATTGTTGCTGGGCCTCCAGTTTCTATCTCATCGAGGATTGGCTTCAATGATGGATCTTCCCTTATTTTTGACATACGTTCTTCCATTTGTTCTTTATGAGCAGGATTAGTCAAATTGTCGAGCATGGAAGACATGGAAGGATCCTGCATGGACATATTTTAATTTTTTGATTTCCCAACCAGCGTTAAAACTTTTTCTAATATTCAGGGAGAATGGTTTCTTATACCTGCATCAAGGCACTTCCAAGGCGTTCAGCCATGGTCATAAACTGAGGATTCTGCATCACTTGTTGCATGGTAGTCATGTATTGCTGTGGATCCAACGGAGGAACGCCACCCTCTCCAGCTACAGCAACACTCTTTTGAAGTTGTTCAGCCATCTGAGTGAATACAGGATCATGTGCTATCTGTGAAGCTAGATCTTTTATGCTTGGATCCTGCATTCATCATATCATAGAAAAATAAGCCAAAAGGATTGGTAATTCTTTCTAAGAAAATGGATTATGGCATGGAGTAATTAGACTGAAAATTTCATCCATATGCACTACAACCGGGCGTATATAAACAATAATTGCAGACTCCCTAGAGCTTGGAATTCATATCAATGCCGTATAAACCGATTAACCATGGTAGTTATCCATTCATGTCAACTTTATAATAACCACCGTATATATTGCTAAAGGTCCACAAGGCACGAAGTTTTTTGTAACATCATTACAAATAATATTCTACTGAAGCACACATGTGCACATTATCATTGTCACAATGTATGGTTTGTCAATGCAGCATTAATTTTTTTTCAAAAGGCAAAGCAAAGTTGTATGCAGATTTTTCTCGCACAACGTGGATGACAGATGCAACTTTCTTTATGTAGAAAAAACACTGCGAATATGCACAAGGTCCTTTATAATTACTTCTAACTTGTGACTTGGCACGGGAATTTCAGCCAACATAAGCATGCCCGATTATGTAAATAATAGCAATTGGAAAGCTTCACTTGGTTTACAAGCTGACTTATAGATAACATTTTTCAATGCAATTCTAACTTCTGCATCTCTGCACCATACAGAACAATAAGTTGCAAAATGAAATAATGCCCCTTTAAACCGGTTAGTACCCTAAGGCAAGACAAACACTGCATAACAAGGCACATAAATTATAGGAAAAAAAACTAATAAAAAGATTAAAAAAATTATTCATTACAATGTCATACATAACAACAACAACAAGCCTTCATCCCACTATGAGGGGTCGGTTACATGAATCCTTTTTCTCCATTGTGTTCTATTAAGGATTAAATTCTCATTTAAATCTAATAAAAAAGTTATTTTTAATACTTTTTAACCAAGTCTTTTTAGATCTTCCACTACCTTTCTTAACATACGTTAGATCTAATACATATACTCTTCTAACACGGTCATCAGAAGGCCGATATTTTATGTGACCAAACCATCTAAGGCAACTCTCTCTAATCTTATGTGTCACTAGAACTATTGTAACCTTTTCACATATATACTCATTTCACATTCTGTCTCTTAAGTGAAAAGCCACTCATTCACCTGAGCATTCTCATCTCTATGTTACTTAACTTACATTGTCATCCACAAGTGAATAAAATAACAACGAACCACAAAAAAGGAAAGAAATAAAAAAATCAAGTATTGGGGAAACTTGTAAAATGTCTCAAGATCATTAAATGAGTCATATGCTGGTATTATTGGCTGTTCTTTTCTTCATCTCATCATTATCAACAGTACCCATTGCAATCCTATCCTGGCAAAACAACAAGAGAGACCCTCATGACCTAAGAATGTAGATATAAGCCAAGAAACAGAAGGAGAAAATCACTCATTGAATCACAAAAACAAACAATAGAAGTGTTGGCATAACACGTAGTTGCAATCATGAGTTGTTTGTATTACTTGTATAATTATACATATATACAATCAATTGATGACTTTAGGCATCAAAAATGCTAAGCAGAATAATAGATCACAGCTAGAAAAAAATATTCATAGCTCAACGCTGTTGCTAGCTTATTTTCTTGTTTCTACCAATCCCATATAGTCTTGCAATAGAACACGGGAACATAGGTATTTGAATTAAAATAATACAACTTGGCACCAGAGCAAACAGTTTCAATAGTCATGAACAGGGAAGAAGAATTACATTAAGCAGATTTGTGATAGCAGAAAAATCAAAAGGATTTGCAGGAAAAGCTGTTGTGGGTGCAGTAGCTCTTCCACCACCTGATTGTTGCTCAGCAGATGCTGCTGCATTTGAGTTTTTGTTCTCTGTTGAAGCTGACTTGTCACCTAAAAAAGAAAATGTTCTAACAAGTTAAAACTAAAAAGATGAAAGCTCCATCAATTCCTTACAAATCGATAACATTATCCACAGAAATTCACAAAAAGAATGATTAACCAATCCATAATTATGTGCACAGTAACATCAAACCTTAATTCTACCTCTTTTCTTTTAAATCTGAATAAGTATATATATGCTCAAATGAGCAAAATTAAAACAGAATAAAGTAATTTGTTTGTGTAAATGTGCGTGTATGAAAAGGTCTTTTGAAATTCAAATAAAAAAGATGTTTAGACAATATATATGCATATATAATAGAATTTAATGAATTTTATTCAGAGCTTAAAAGTTAAATTATAATTAAATGATAGACACTATTTCCTATATTTTAATTATAAAGATAAAATGAATCTAAAATTCTTAGAAAATTTAAAACAAAATAATTAGTTAAAATAAATGTGAAAGTATTAAGATAAAATATCATTCAAGTTGTATGTCTCGATATCATAAAATAAATTCTATAAATATTATTGTTATTATATAAAAAAATGTAAAGTATTAAACTAAATATTTAAATATTAATCAATATAATAAAAGAAACTATTAACTTAGCATGATTTATAAACTCGAATGTTAAAAAATGCTATTAAGTTGAGTTTAAATTATAATAAAGATAAGCATATGTAGAATAAATAAAATAGTTAACCTAAATAATTTCTATAATTCTATGTGTGTTTAGTTGTAGATTGATAGAAATTAATAGCTTAATGATCACGCTATGTTGAGAATTGAATTAGACTTATTAAGTAAAAGCACTATTAAATTAGAAGGGGGGAGTAGAATATGCATAGATTAAAGAAAATTAATTAACATGGTATCTCATGCAAATAATTATAGGTTTTCAATTAATAGAAGTTGAGTGAAGAACTAAAAGGCAAAAGCAAACCATTTGAGGTTGTGGTGAACACTTCTATTTTTAAATTATAGTAATGATATAATCTTTCCTACATCAAACACGTCTATCATGATATTCGTTTAATGTTTTTGCAAATTCATTAATAATTTGTCACTCTTAAAAAAATATTGGTCATTCAAAATTGAAAGTCATAAATCTTTTGTAATGTTTTAATTATTTATCTTATACCATACAATGTTCACAATAGAAACATATGAAATGATATGGAGAATGCAAATGGAACAATTTATATATAAATTCTTGTAGATGCATATTGATTGATAGGGTTCATCCCTTATGTTACAAGATGAAAATGCTAATGTGATCGCATGTAGAATGAAGAAGGCTATCGATATTGAAGTACCTTAAATGGTGCAATTTAGATGGTGCCCATGTGATGGATGTACTACATAAAAATAAGATAAGATATTATTCTCACCGTATAAAAGTGTTTAAAAATCCCTTAGATGGTTATCTTTGAATAAAATGAATTGTCAAATGATTTTGTACAAATTTATTTACCTAAAAAAGCATACATATCATTTTCTAAATTCCATTTTGTTATTGTATCAACCAACTAACTTATGTTGATTAACTCATTATTGTTTTAATTAATATTTTCATTATAAAATTTCGAGAACTAAATAAGTGAGAGAAGACAATTTAAATGTCACAGAAGTGGCATTATAAGAGAACAGTAATTATATTATAAGTGTTAAATTTTTAGTTTATAATTAAGTTTATTTGATAGCATATCTCTTTGGTTGCATTGAATGTTGATACTTTAAGAATGATTATAAGTAAATGAAATTTAAAAAACTACATCCTACTATCAATTTCCGCCATGGCATTCCAAGTTTCCGAGTCGGGCCATGACAAATGCATTGACAAAAGTTGTGAGTATATAATGGGGGAAATGGAAGATATTTGGAAAGATTATTTTGGCGAAGAAGACCTAATTTGGAAAAAAAATTAATGAGGCATTAGGACAAGTTGATCGAACATGATATTGAGTAGAAGGCTCATCCATAATCAAGTTTAATTCATCTCGAATTGCATCTACTTCCATTGAAGTTATCCAAGAAAGACAAGATAAGTTTGACTCAATAAAAGTAGTAAGTTTGAGAATGGAATTCCAACTAAAGGAGAAAGGGATTATGAGAATTAAAGAGAGAATGATGAATAATAATTACCCTAAATCTTGTTTTATAGGACTTGAGGTTTTATGCATTCAAGGTTTGTTTGCGACAACTGTAGCTTATTGTAAAGATAGTTATAAAACAATTAAAACTATTATGGGGACAGCAAATTTTTTTTTAAAGTCATCATCAATGTTTAATATTTTCTTTTTTAAGAAGTGGATCATCAGCTTTCATATAGTTGTCATGCATTAGCAAATCTAATTGTAAAAAGTTGCTTCATGTCAAAAATTTCTAAAAAGCAGCAAAAAAAATTAGCCAAATAAAAGCATGGCAATAATCTAAAAAGCAAACTAATGAAAAAGTTATCCTAAACAAACCCTTAATCTTCAACTTTTGTGCTGAACTAAAACATGAATGTTGAATTTTAATTTTTCTCCTTTTATTTTGTCATACTCTAATTCATAAAATTATAATAATATGTCGGACGACTTGTTCCCTTTAATATTTTGTTAATTTATATGCATATTAAAAAAAGTTAAAATTACAATTTGTAGGTTCACAATTCAAAATCATCTTCAAATAAGGCATAAGCAACGTATTTCTTTTTAATTTTCTATAATTTTTGAACTTGTTTATTAAATAATACATGATTTGAAATTATTATTGATATTTGGTATTATCATTATATTTACCGAAAAGCAATATCTTCTATGGTTTAAATTTTGGTTAATTAAATTACTATTATATTCAAATAACACACACGTGTGTCTAAGTCATGAGTAGGAGTGTCAAAATGGGTAAATGGTTCGGTTCAAGTCCGACTGGAAACTGGTCAATCCGAACCCAACTCGTTTAAAAAACAGGTTAAAAAGATGGACCCCAACCTGGCCTGCTAGCAACAAAAAACCCATTTTAATTAAAAATATATTATTTATTAACTTGTTAATCATAAATTTTAGCTTAATTGATAAAAATTGAGAAGATTATACTAATAAATAAAATAATTTAAGAAAAAAAATATTAAACAAATCTTTTCAGGTTAAAATTGAGTTGGGGAGTCAACTCGAACTCGACCCCTTTAATAAACATGTCAGAATATATGACCCAAACCCGACCCGTTTATTAAACACATCAACTCGAACCCGATTTTTTTGGGTCGGATCACTTATTGACACCCCTATTCATGAGCACTTTAGTTAATAAAAGCAACACCTTTTATCAATTGAAGAAAAAAATAACCTTTGTGCATTGTGTTATGCTTTGCACTTAAAAAACATTAATATAAAACTTACTTTATTCCTTACAGCATAGCACATTATAAAATTAATCGAATAAATCAACTTCTCCTTCTGTCAAATGAGATAAACAATGAATATGAGTTCCCTATATTTTAAGGTTTGAAAAAAAAAATCATTAAGTGGGGGTAAAAATACCTAAGCTATGACAATCACAAGCCACACTCCAAAGTCTAGAAAATGACTCACACATCAGCCACGGCACTAAATAAACTCAAAATGCACTCAGGCTCCTCTACTTTTATTTGTAAGCAAAAAAGAGTGACCAATGGTAAATAAATGATTATTTCTCATTAAAATATCACTGATGCGAGATAGTTCAGGCTTAGGGTTTACAAATGCAACTAGATTAAATGATACAATATGCGCATATTACCAAGGGAAACTTATGATTTGCAGCTCATAACCCACTAAATAAGCCAACTTTATTTCTTTGAAGCAAATAATAAATACAAGAATTTGAACCAAAACAATAATGAAAGGACTAAATAAATAAGAAGAAATCAACAAGAAATTTGAAACACACCAAAACAACGATCACTTGTAATTTAATCCTTGCAATTAAATACCAATTGAGTCAAATTTGAACAAAATCAAGAAGAATTCACCAAAGTTAAATGTAAACTTAACAACGGTATTTAAACTCGTGACATGATCAAATGAATTATATACACAAGATTGAAAATTAGAAGAGGAAATTTTTCTCAACCAAATTTCATAATTACTGGTCCCAAATCAACTTATTTATAGACTCGTTATCCTAAAACTAATAAGCATCAATTTTATCAGTACTTTAAAATCCCATAGGTTTTAATAGAACACCCTACATACATGCCACATTCCAAATCTCTTAGCCCTTACCCAAAAGCTAGGGGGAATCGTTCTAGGAGACAAAACCTGATAATAGCAAGAAAATTCAAATAGCGTGTAATCATTTCCATAAAGAGCAAATCAATCAATATCCACACATAAATTTTGAAAATCCCATGAAACTATTCACAAAAATCTCACATCGCCCGATAAACAAATGAACCTTTTTTATAATAAAAAACACATTTAAAAACACCTATTAATGTGAAACATATGCTAGATTCATGAATTACTTAAGAATAATAATGAATTGACAAGCTTAGAAATTATGTAATAATGGTGATCAAGTGCTCATTTAAGCGACTTCTTAATTGTTGACAAAGTAATAGCAAGCAATTACAAGTATTGGCGGGGAACAGTAAAATAATAACCAAGACAATATGTACTTATCCACAAGTCACACAAATCCCACAATTAACAACTAGAACAATCACAGTGAAGTTCCCTCACTCACACTCTTTGAATAATTTCAACAGAAGAAAACTTGATATGATATTAACAATGCCAATAATAGGAAGTAAACGGTCAACAAAAAAAAGTAGTGGGTGCAATATAAGTGAGTTGCCACTGGAAGAGAGGTCTCCGATGGTCAATGGCGGTTGCAAGAGATATCAACTAGTGTAGTAATTAATTGGGGAAATGGGAAAAGGCAACAACAATTAGGATTTAATGGGGGGAATAGGAAAAGGCAACGCTCTTAGGAATTAATGGGGAAGGGAAAAATGTGGCAATTAAAGTGGAGTTAA